GCTGCTCTCAGCCCCTGTCTGGCTGGGTGTCATTTCTGTTAATTGCCAGCTGCTGAGTCTCTGTCATATTTGTCCTGTTTTGCTAAAAAAAAACATGCCCTGGGACATGAGAATGATGTGTTAAAGTGAAGCTGCTGTCTGCATGATGACACAACACATCTTCAGCATTAAAAGTAGGCTCCTGTTTCCTGGCTCTCACTGATTTGCTTAGATTTAATTTGGCCAAAAGCCTTTGCCTCTGCACTTGTGTAATTGACCATGTGACAATATGACCTTCAGTAAATGTTCCATGTGTGCACTGTTATCAGTACTAGCTGCCCTTTGGAGAGATGGGAGAGTTTAAATTTAAAATCGAATGAGGTATTGACCGGTCAGCATAGCATGGGGCAAGTCATTAGCTTCCACTTGAATATCAGGCAAATAAATAAATTTTTCTAAAACTATTATCTATAAAGTTTGATTGAGTATGACAATGTTCAGGTATTATTTTAATGGAATCCTTCACATAATCATGTTGCTGTGAAAGATGAGTTGATTAAAGTTAAAACATCTTAAATTATTGATCATTTGACTCTTATATTGCTAAGAAATTGTGCTATTTTAGTGTAAATCTTGTGAAATAGACAGTAATTCAGTAATTTGAAGGAATCTCACTACAGGAGAAAGATTAAGATGTTAGGAGATTAACACCTGGAAAACACTGATATGAAGACAACAGCATCTCAAAATATTTCTCTTGTTGGCAGTCACCTTTAAATAGATCAGTTCAGTCTAATCATCTTACTGTCATTGTCCACGTTATCATTCATTACCAGGCAGACAGGCAGGCAGTACATACTTTACATAATGTATTCTTACATAGTTTGCTTTGAGTCAGCTTTGTACAATACACATGGCCCCCAAAAGTCTTGTAGACTAAATAATATAATGTCCATCACTTCATATTAATCTATTCACTTCAAAATGGACATAGTAACATATGTACAATTTATGAATAGACCCAAATTACCTCCCATATGCTATCAGGAGACACCAAAATATGTTATTGCTTAGTTTCTCCAACTCTACAATGCAAGACAAGACAAAAGGCTCTTTACATTATAGAAATGATTTTGCTGAGGATAGATCTAGTGTAACCATATAACACCTTAAATACACTCCATTCCATATACTCTCACTTCTACCTCTCCTGCATTTGTTTAAACAAATCATTTCATTTGTATGTATTATAAGCATGCATAGTCTGGTTTATTCTTTATTCATCTTATTACTGGAGATATAATGTGTTTTAAAGCTTTCCAGTGAGCAGTCTATACTGACTGATCATGATGCTCACAGCTCAGTTCAGTGGTAAATGCATCATCCTTAATCAATAGATTGCCCTCAGGGTACAGTAAAATGTATCAGATTTAAAATAGAATTTTAACAGGGCTTTCAAGCATTCAAAACACCCAAAAGCAGAAATATGTTTGCTGCACTGCACCATACTGTCTTAAACCTGTACACCTTTACACTACAGGAGTTTACTTGTGGACATTACTATATGGATACCTGAGTGGGCCAATGATATTTTTAGAGACACTTACAGTATGTTGTTAAAGAACACAGAAACTTTACACAATCTGCACAGACTTATTTGTCTTTTTGTACTGTGACTAATAATTGCATTTTCTTATTTATCCTCCCCACCCCTATTTTCACGAAAGGCCTCTTCTTCACAGTGAGCGAGGGGAACATCTCCGCCGGCACTCCTTCAGTGGAGGAATGGGTGACATTGCAGACCCTCTCCTTCTGTCATGTCCAACTCCTGGCGGTACCCAGCGAGGTAACCACAGTCCTTGGACCACACTTGCCAAAGATAACCTCAAGTACTGCCCTGATGGTTACTACAATCAGGAGGAGCCCCTCAACTACTGCAAGCCCTCCATTGGTCCCCATAAAGGTCTCAGTCCAGGTTTGGGTGGTGGCTGGTCTCTGCGACCAAATTCAGGTCCCTTCAGAGCAGGTCAGGGTGTCAGCTACACGAACTCTAATCGCTTGAACAAGACAGGCCAATATGGAAAGCCATACCGCCTTTCACCTAGCTGCCACAGTAGCAGAGGTGGTGAGGTATTTGTCTCTAAGCTCTATGGGAACATTCAAATTCCCACAGACCCAGATGCCTACTGTGTGGACCTGGTGAAGAGCGAGGACGGCTATGGTGAATGCTACGATGACCACCTGATGCCAGAGATGCAACCCATCAAGATAGAGCACGACTCAGACTCTGAAAATGGCTCTGATGCTTATGGACAACCCTGGGCTTGCCGCGACCCAGAGGCCGTCAACCGTCGCTATAATGGGATTTACGACCAAAGCTCCAGCCTACAACTCAAATCAGAGGCAGATTATTATGATGCACAGTACTCGCCCTGTCAGCAAGGGAAAACAGGCATCAGCCCACCGTACAACAATGGCAACTACCACAGCTATGCAGTTAACAACAGCGGCAGTACCACCTCACGTATGTTAAAGTGTGACAAAGACTTGGGAAATAACGATGATGGCAACCAGTTTAGTCCTCAGAGACTCTCTCATTCAGACTCTCTATGCACTAACCAACCTGTCAACCTCATGGACTCACACATCTATCTACAAGACCCTCACAAGGCCTACATGCCCCCAGACTACAACAAGCTTGGAACTTATGATTTCAAAGGTCATGGTCTGATCCATTCAATCAAGCGGGAACCCATGGACTCGCCACCATGGACTGAGAGTGGTCATGATGTAAACCAGTCCATGATGGCTGGTTCAAGGAACATTATGCCATGTGTGATGACCACAGGGCACCACAAGTCCAGTCCTTACATTTATATGTCATAAGAGTGACTGGAGCATTACCCACACATAAACACACCCAGAGATAATTACCTGCCCCACGGCACACACACACACACACCTACACAATCAGTGTGCATTATAGTACTTTCTACCATATTATTATTGCCCTCATACATATGCACCAGCATTACAAAAGGACAGTCTTTGATTGCGAAGCTTCCCAGGATGTCAAGTACTTCTTCAGTTTGATGAAGAGGTCACAAACAGAGCTCAGGTTCTAGTGTTAGCGCTGTGACAATCAGAAATAATCATTTCAATCCAGTTTATGGGTAAATGATTTTATTGTTAAAGAATACATTTTGTAATTGGATCACAGCACTTTTGGATTTAATGACAATGAGACAAATAATGTCAAGGACAGGTTCATTTTAATGGCTTGTGCACACCTGGCTTTTGTTGGTGGAACAAAGATTTTGCTGTAAAAATAGACTTTTTCTACTTTGTACACAGAGGATGACTTAACGCCTACTGCTGGGATTATTCAAGGGAGATAGGGAACATACTTAGGAGTGAGTGATAACAACTTAAAGAAAAATCTCTCTTTAAGATTTAAAGGGTCTTATAGGTGGTTTTGCATGTTTTAGTGCATTAACTATAAATCACCTCCTTTCTCATTACTGCCTCCAGTGATTTGTGAATGGAGTTTCTATGCATTTAGTAAATTCTCTTGTTAAATCAACTTACAAATACTTGAAACTTTTAATCCTCTGCAGTGAAAAAAAGTTTTGGCAAATTTATAGCAATCACGCCTTCCTAGGGAGGTGTTCCGGGCATGTCCCACCGGGAGGAGGCCCCGGGGAAGACCCAGGACACGCTGGAGGGACTATGTCTCTCGGCTGGCCTGGGAACGCCTCAGCATTCCCCCGGAGGAGCTGGAGGAAGTGTCTGGAGAGAGGGAAGTCTGGGCATTTTTGCTTAGACTGCTGCCCCCGCGACCCGGTCTCGGATAAGCGGAGGAAAATGGATGGATGGATGGATAACAATCATATGTTTGCAACTTGGCTGTGTTTTCAAAACATTTTCAGGGGCACTCTGATATCTGATACTGATGACTGCTGAAAGGCTGTTTTAAATGCACAGCACAACCAAATTCACGCTCTGTTTTCCTGTTTGTGTTCGGAATTAGATGATTTTGTCAGGGCATCCTTAAATACACCATTAAGAACAGCTCTGAAAATGATTTCTGCTTGCTGCAGAATCCTTTGGAGAGCTTGACAGTAATGTAAACAAGATGCCATTTGTAGTTAATGGACCACAACATGTAAGGTCTGCACACACACAGGGCAGCAGTAAGTAAGGAAACAAACCCTCAGCTACCATGTCCCACTGAAGCATCCTTGAGAAAGGTGCTGAATAATATGAAGTCCAACAGGGGCCACTCTGTACTCCCACTGTGGCTCTAACCTCCATGTGGAAGGAATAAAAAAGAGCAAAATTCAGTGTGGGCAATACAATGATAGGTGAGATTAACATTAAACTGGCATGAAAAGTGAGAACAGATTAGTTGAAATCACACTAGATTTGCCCTTTAAGTCACAGGGCCTAAAAAAAACTAGGCCTAAGACAAAAGTTCTGTACCAGTTAAATTACTATATTAATTTACCTTATGAAGGTTTGTTTGGACCAGGTTGAAGTGTTACTTTGAACTGAAGGAAAGGAGTCTGTTGTTAAGGGGTTTGATTCTTCTCTCACTGCACACAGTATTTCCATCATTTTGAAACTCCTGTTGATTATTAATCTATGTAATGTTATGTCAAAGAATTGTACAATTTGGATTAGTGAGTATGGCAAGATCAACATTTCAGCTCACTGCAGGTATGACAGTTCTTTTTCATGTTGTCTTTTCAGTCAGAAAAAGTAAGACAATCTTCGCAATCAGTATTTTTTGCACAAATTAATTAAAAACACCAAATTGATTCAATTTCAGTCGTCATTCTGTGAAGCTACTGTAGTAGTTTCTAAATTGCACTAGTGGGT